CAGCACCACTGTCTAATGTGGACAACCCCAGCTTTTTTAAATGAGAGAAATTCAGAGCCAGATCATCTTGACATTGGAAGAAGCTTCAAGGATTGGCTGTTCGGATTCCAATCCAGACGTCCCACCTGAGGTATCCCAGCTTCCTGCCCCCTCCCAGTGTCCCTGCAAAGGGCACCTTCCCCAGCCCGAATTCTCTGCCGGCATCTGGCAGCCAGGAGCTCGAATACAAAACACTATTAAATGGCCAAGTATTTTGGAATAGAAGGTGAAAAACACACTCACTTCCTGCCTCATATTCTCCCATGGTGTGATCTTGAGCAAGTCAATTAACTGCTCAGAGCCTCAGTTTTCTTTTTGCTACTGCCCTAAATTCCAGTTTCACTTATGGACATTTACTACCTCATTGATGAGCCTTCATTTGAATCTTCAGCCTTTTGTTTTCTTTGCTCTTTCTAGCCCCTGTGATAGAACAGGTGGTCTGCAGCTTACACCTTCTCCACAATTGAACAGTCCATGTGTCTCACAGCAACCGCCTGCCTCCCTCCTCATAGCACTGGTGACCCCACTCAGCTTGTATTCGGCCCTCAATAATCTGTGGCTGCTTCTGGGTGTGTACCCCTGATCTGCTGGGGCCTCACAAGAGTCTTGCATCCATTTCCATCTATCCCCACAGTGTCCCCCCCCTCTCTCGCACACACATGTAGGCACACACATACACGCACACACATACATGTACACACATGCACTGTCCCAGAATGAGCCCTGGTCACACTTCCCAATGGCAACCTCTGCATCGCCATTCCTTTCCATGATATCTCTCACCCCTTTAGCCCACTCTTGGGGGTGGGGAGGAGCTACTGTTAATTTCTTCAGTCTCTTTGACCAGACTGCATCTCTTACCTCAGATGGCACTCACAGAGCCTAGTGTTGTGGCTCACAATATTTTCAATAACTATTGAAATATTTGATGATTTGCCTATGTGAAGAATGTAAAGGAGTTTTCTGAAAGACTATTTGTTAATACTTGTCAAGTAGAAAATATTTACAATAATCAAACCTAACATTCACTGAACACTTTCCATGTACCAAACACTGTTGTGAGTGTTTAACTTACCTCATTTTCCTGCCATTAATTCTATGAGGCAGGTACTTTTATTATCACCACTTTCTTCCACTTTGCTCATTAGGGAATATTCTTGGCTATACTCAGTATATATACTAAAATATTAAGTGAACAACAAGATGCACATTTTTATATGTAACATGAGCCTAATATTTTCCATAGATGCAGAGACTATAATAAAAGAAAAAAATACAGCAAAGTTCGAATAGTGACTACCTCTGAGTAAGAAAATTCATTTTTTGCTTTACTCATTTGTCTATATCAGCTAATTTTCCACCATAAACATGCTCTAATGCCATAACACCAGACTGTTTCTTTCTTCCTGTGCTGTTCTTTGTTCTTTGCTCCCTACCAGCTCCTGCCTTTCCCAAATCTGACTGGCCCTGGTCCTGTTTGAGGCTTGCCCAGGGTCCTCCAGGTTGACTCCCCTTCCTCTGATCGCATGAGCCAGGAGAGCAGTCCATGTAAATCTTGGCCCCATGGTGGCACCCTTGGGAAAATGGGGATACTCAAAACACCACCTTTGACAGCTGAAAAGCTTGGGCAAGCAATTGATTCCATGACAAAATCTGCTTCTTTCTCTGGGGGGAATAAAAGGAAGGGCAAAATCTTTCATCCAATTGCAATGGACACTCCTTTTCCACTTTATCCATTATTTCTGGAATGCAGTCAGGTGCTGCTTAAAGCTGGGGAGAACACACCAAGCAGAAGGGAAAAGGCTGCTATCAAGAGACTCGGCAAACACATGATGTATGGGGCTGCTGCCAGCGCAACATGGCACACTGTTTCTACAGCAAACCGTGTTTTGTTTTGTTTTTACATATCTTTATTGATTTCAGAGAGAGGAAGGGAGAGGGAGAGAGAGATAGAAACATCAATGATGAGAGAGTCATTGATCGGTTGCCTCCTGCATGCCCCTGACTAGGGATCGAGCCTGCAACGCAGGCATGTGCTCTGACCCAGAATCGAACCGTGATCTGGATCCTAGGTCGATGCTCAGCTGCTGAGCCGCTCTGGCAGGGCCCTTCTTCTTTTTTAAGTAGAAAGGGCACACTATAAAATAATGATAAGTAGTATAGTAAATACATAAACCAGTAACATAGTCATTTGTTATTATTATCAAGTATTATGTACCGTACATAGCTGTATGCGCTATACTTTCATACGATGGGCAGTGCAGTCGGTTTGTTTACACCAGCATTGTCACAAACACTGAGTATCTCACTGAGCTGTGACATTACGACTGGCTGCAATGTTTGTGACATTACTAGACAATAGGGATTTTATTTTCATTATTGCTGAAACTATTACAATAGGATTTTTCTTTCTTTTTCTTCTGTTTTTTTTTTTTTAAATTCTCACCCAAAGATATTTTTTCCATTGCTTTTCAGAGAAAGTAGGAGGGAG